TTTAAATGCTTCACTAGGGTAATAAGGTTAATTAGGCAGGTTATGGTAATTAGGCAAGTTATTGTATAATGATGGTTTGTTCTGTAGACTATTGGAAACAAATATAGCTTAAAGGGGCTAATAATATTGTCCTTAAAATGGCTTTAAAACAATTAAAAACTGCTTTTATTCTAGCCGAAATAAAACAAATAAGACTTTCTCCAGAAGATCAAATATTATCAGACACACTGTGAACATTTCCTGTTAAACATCATTTGGGAAATATTTAATAAAGAAAAAAGAATTCAAAGGGGGCGAATAATTCTGACTTTAACTGTATACAGTGGGGAAATAAGCATCAAAAACTTCACCGTTTTTCTCCGAAAACATCTTTCTTGACTTGAAATTTTCCCCAGATGTTGATACAACAAAAGAAATCCACATATACAAAGAAAACAAATCTAATGAGTTTACAAATGAAGTCATGCGAAATAAAATGAAACGACAGATTGAACACATGAAGAAAGGGAGGAGTAGTTGTGCAGTGAAAGCCCAGACAGCAGTTTGAATCTCTCAGTAGTTCTTCAGCAAGCCTCTGCCCTTCCTCAGTGTCAATGAAGATCAGCTGCTTCAGTCCAACATCTACATCAGCAGGAGGATGAAGATCAAACCATTCAGCAGGACGATGATCCACAACACAGCCGAGGAGACTCTCAGATACTTTCAGAGAAAGAAAATCAAGCTGTAGAATGGCCCAGCCAATCACCTGATCCGAATCCAATTGAGAATACAGAATACAGCTCAGATCTGATTGAGGAGACCCACGCTCTGTTGAAGACTGAGAGAAACTCACACCTGAGCACTGCATGAGGCTTCATTCTCCATATGAGACACGTCTTTAAGCTGCTTATTTAATTTGAGTTAAACCAACACAATTCTTAATGTTATTGCCGGACAACTTAACAGTTTATGTTCAGTGTACCTACATTTGTAAAAGCGATTTGAATCGAGTTGGGACAGCATGACAGCGTTTTCACACTGTGTGTTTTCTGCTCCTCAAGATTTGTCTCCAGCATCTCTGCAGTACCGTGGATCACTAGAACAGCCTCAGAAGATCAAGAAGACTCCGCCCCCTCTCAGGACATGCCCCGCCCACACCCCAGAGAGGCCACGCCCCAAAGCACAGAAACCTCACGGTATTATTAACTTATCTCAACAGCAGATCTAAAAGCAAACACTGATATAATTTGATCACCCCAACAGCTCTGGTGTTAGTGTCAGAACACCGGTGTGTGTGTGTGTGTGTGTGTGTGTGTGTGTGTGTGTGTGTGTGTGTGTGTGTGTGTGTGTGTGTGTGTGTGTGTGTGTGTTATTATGGTGGCTATTCTGCACAACAGACAGAGGAAGGAAGTGCGCACACGCTCTGCTTCCTGAATTCAGCGCCGCTTTTAATCCGTTGCATTATTATTTCTTGATGTGTCCTTCATTTCTTCATGCATGTCCTCCCATCAGCTCCTCACACACTCGCTCTCATCTCAGACAGTTTGTGCGCACATGCATGTCCATGTTTTACACTCTATTCTCTCTCTCTTCATATGTGTGTGTGTCGCTGTGTAACCACAGCACTTTCCGCACGCTCATCTCCACTTCCTGTTCTCGTTCAGGAAGCTGCAGTGTCTCCATCTTCCATCTTCTTCAGCTCTGTGTGTATGTGTGTGTGTGTGTTTTCTTCAGGATCGGGGTGTTGAGTA